TCTTTGATGAAATAGTGATGTCTGCAGCGGTTTAGGTTAAGTAATACTTTTAATGATTCTTATATCTAGGTAAACCTAGTGGAGTATGGCAGGATACTTTTCATAAGAATCACCTATGTGAGTGTGAACTGGGCCGGTTCTATAAGATTTGTGAAGGGCTACAAGTCTTTAGAGCACTCATGAAGACCAGGTTGTTCAGGGCCAAAATGAACACAATAGTGAGAACTAAACTGTGTCTGGGAATATACTGTGTGAGTTCTATTGTCTTGGTTTACACAAACGGCTGAACAGTTCAAGACATCATGTTCACTGGTTAGCTAGTAAATCCGATAGTATCTCACAAGGGAAGGTTCAAAGCCAAAAGCTACCTATCCTTTGTAGAATATTTTCAATTTCTGTACTCTCTGTATTTACATCATGTTGTTGCATTTTCTCTCTATCAATTTCATTCATGTGGGGGATTGTTGGAAAATTTATAAATTTATAAAGAGGTAGTTGTGAATTGAAATAGACTCTATTTTGAATGAAAGGGTGTAACCTTTCATGGTGTCTTTTTGTTTTAAAAGAAGGGTCTCTATTTTGAATGAAAGGGTGCAAACCTTTCATGGTGTCTCTTTATTTTAAAGGAAGGGGTATGTCCCTTCTTCATACCTTTTCTATTCAATTTGAATAGGTGCCAACAAAGCCTATATAAAGGCAGCCCCATTCCAATTTTGAGGATTCCGAAAATTCATTTTCCTTGCCTTCATTTTGCTCTCTTGCGTCCTTTATTCTTCATATTATTTTAGGGCAATCAAAGAGAGTATAGATCGCAGGTTTGGTTCGTTGAACAAATTTATTTGAAGGGCTTCTATAAATTTGTGAAGATCATTGTATCTTGGGAGATAGACGTCATTCAACCGTAAGCACCGTAGCGGGCCGAATCTGTCTTAAGGACAGAGTGTCACACACTCGACTTGGTCTTAATTTTAATTCGGTTCAATAAATAAATCTGGTATGTTATTTATTTATTTTGTTTGAATTTATTTCTAGTTATTTTATTTTACACAGAAGATTGTTCCAACAGCCATCACACGGTGTCTAGGAACCTCGATGAGAAGCACAACCGATTCAACGTGTTCAAGTACAATGCTCACCATGTTCACAACGCCAACAAGAATGATAAACCTTACAAGTTGAAGTCGAACAAGTTTTCAGACATGACGAACCACGAATTCAAGAGCGCTTATGCCGGTTCGAATGTTAAGCACCACAGGATGCTCTGGGGGAGCCCTAAAGGGAATGGGACTTTCATGTACGAGAAGGTAGATACGGTCCCCCCATCTGTCGATTGGAGGAAGAAAGGTGCAGTCACCCATGTAAAGGACCAAGGACATTGTGGTAACGCTAATTGTTCATTCCCCAGCTGACCTTCTACCAAATCGTGAATCATTTTTCTAAAATAGTGAATCATTAGATTTAGTTCATTTAACGTAACCATGTATTAATATAACTAAATTGAATCTATGTATATACAATAACCTCACATACATCAATATCATCAATTGAATTTTTTTTGGCAAAACGGCACCGCTTTATGCGTAATGCAAACATAACTGAATTTCAGTGAATCGTAGAAATTGTATTCTTTTGGGTATGGCTTATAAGCTGACTTTTTTTTTTATTACGAAAAACATGCATAAAGTAAAGAGGTGATGTGATTCAAATAAGCCAATAAACTAATAAGCAAATTTACTTATGGTGTTGCCAAATGATGAATCATAGTGAACATCAATTAAATTGTACGATCCACTCAATTTAAGATTCAACATGATAAATCAAATCGTTTTATTTGAAATTTGTATCAAACTGTGAATTACAAAATTCTAACAACCATGGTTACAGGTAGTTGTTGGGCATTTTCAACGGTTGTGGGCGTTGAAGGAATAAACCAAATCAAAACAAAGAAGCTAGTTTCTTTGTCCGAGCAGGAACTGGTTGATTGCGACAACAAAGAAAATGCAGGTTGTAACGGAGGCCTAATGGATTTAGCTTTTGAGTTCATCAAGCAAAAGGGAGGAATAACAACCGAGGAAAACTACCCTTACAACACTGCAGATAGAACTTGTGATGTTTCGAAGGTAAACTAAAAATCTGCTGTTTTTCTTTCTGATGTTATGGGGATAAGATTCGGACGGTTTTGCAGGAAAACTACCTGGTAGTATCAATTGACGGACACGAGAACGTTCCCGCTAACGATGAGGATGCGCTGATGAAAGCAGCTGCCAACCAACCTATATCTGTCGCCATAGACGCCGGGGGTTCTGATTTCCAGTTCTATTCAGAGGCAAGCAAATTTATGACTAACAAGTTGTATGTGCAAACGCAATGAGTTTGCAATTTTAGAGATAAATTTTTAGATAGTTTAATGATTGAGAAAAATTGGTTATCAGTCTTGCGTGGTTTGTTGAATGAAAACAAAATCATTCATCAATTATTGACATGATAGTTACTGGATAAGGACATTTTGGGTAAAGGACAAAACATGACACTTGACACAATAACTCAAGTGTACACTTTATATAATACAGAAAGGATATACTAACAAAAAATGTCAGTGTTGGAAACAGTTCTTAGAAAGTCATTGTGAAACCGAGAAAACAATACTATATTATTTCCTAAGTTTTGTTGAGTACTTGCTATATTTGGCAGGGGGTATTTACCGGAGGCTGTGGCACGGAGCTGGATCATGGGGTGGCGATTGTGGGCTATGGAACAACCCTAGATGGAACCAAATACTGGATAGTGAAGAATTCATGGGGAACTGAATGGGGAGAGAAGGGCCACATTCGAATGCAGCGAGCCATCTCTGATGAAGAAGGCCTGTGTGGTATAGCAATGGAGGCTTCGTATCCAATCAAGTCCTCCTCAAACAACTCTAAAGGACCTCTACCCTCCCCCAAGGACGAGCTCTGAGCCTCTAAATCACATTTAGCTTTACCTTTGATCTCTGTCTCAGCTAATATTCTTCTCTGTTAAAGTTTCATGTCCAGTTATTCTTTTTCATTTTTATAGGGATTGAAGCTGCGATAATCCTCACATAAACATATCAAATTTGAATCACAAAATTTGGTGCCAGTTACATGCTATGTCTGTTAAAGCTCTGTTTGGAGCTCAGGATGACATAAATCCTCCTTAATATTTTCACTTGCAATCATTTTAAGCAATTGAAAAAGGTTGACACATTTATCCAAAATAAAATAAAATAAAAAACAAAAGAAAGAAAGACAGAAATTTGCAGCAATAAGGTATGGCCAAGGAATGAGAACTTGACATTTACTTTTAAATTGAATTTTCCCATAAATTATATTACTTTAAGAAATAAATCTAGTTGACATTTATATTTCAACTAAACTATCACAACCATATATATATATATAGGTTGATGCTAGTTTGCAACAATTACTGGTATCACAAATATCTCAAGTTACTTCAATTATGGGAAACCACCTGCTTTTGGAAGGAACAAAGGAGAATCATTTCCAATGTTTAAAGTCCCATATAGTTAAAAGCAGAAATGATCAAATTTCTTCGAAGTTTTTTTCTCAAACAAACATATATTAAGATGCACGGCATATTGGAGGTGGCAACTCCTTAATTGTAGACATTTAACATTACACATTAGGCCGAGACTCCGATGCTCTTGTTTGTAAACTAAACAATTCATGTCACCATATAATTAGTAGACATGACACGTAAAGATACGAAACAAGCTGAAAAAAAAAAAAGGACACAAAACAAGAAATACAGAACCGATGTATGTCTTAAATGTCTACAAGATCTAAGACTCGGAACAAAGTAAAACCATATTGCCAAATGATAAGCAGAATCAAGTTTTGAATGGGTTTAATTACATACTTTGTCAACCGTAGCATCGGATGGGGTCGTTGCAGCCCTTTGAAGCCGACTGTTTACAGCCTCGGCCTCCACCTTTTTCCAAATATTGCTGGTGGTACTCCTCTGCTCTGTAAAATGTCTTTGCTGGAAGAATTTCAGTCACGATCTTGTTATCCTTAAACTCCTTCTGCTTTGCTTCCATTGATTCTTGTGCTAAACGAGCCTGCTCCTCGTTGTAATAGTATATCCCTGAACGGTACTGTGTGCCAACATCTCCACCCTAGCACATGAAATGTCATTGCATGATGAAACTTTGGTTTTGCATATGAAGAGCACTTAAGTAACATAAGCTAGTAAACTTAAATTCTCCATGCAATTTTAAATTATTAGAAATGTTCTCGAGGCACCAAGGTCTTCCAAAGCCAAAGGGCAAGAAAAAGTAAAATGTGAAATTCATATCTGTAAATCTTTTCAATTGGTATATGCATCAACAAAGTCAAACATATATATATTGTAACTTACAAATTTACAATAATAAAAAAGCTAATTGTAACTTACACATATATTGTAAAATTCAAAATACATGGAACAAAGCACAAGAGATGTCAATTGCAAGTAAAAGGCTAAATATGTATTAAGAAGGCAAAGAAACCATTACTTGAGGCATACCAAATTGAGATTTTCAAGCCTACCTGCTGATCGACAACAAACTTAGCTCAGTTATTTGAGTAATGGTGGCAATGGCTTAGAGATTAAGTCCAATGCCCAAATCACATTGGCTAAAGTTTTTGGTGCTAATTTGAGCACCTACGTAGCAAATGTAAATTCCCCACAGCAATTCTTTCTATGATAAAACACCAACAAATGCCTGTGCTTTTAATCTAATTTCAACTGAAAACTGCCGGGTGGATGAAATGCTTTCTTCTCGGGGTCTTGGATTTGATGTCTAGTTTAGTTGTGTTTGTTTGGAGGGGTTAGGTCATAGGATTGGATCATATATCCTGCTCAATCCTAAATCCCACGCTTGAATACAACAGTAAATCTCCAAATTGATAATTCCTCCAGCCTTAATATCCCGCATATAGAAGGACTATTCCTATGGGAGGGGTAGATACAAAATGGGGATTGAGGGAAGTCCCGATTAAGTGGTTAATAAGATTAAAACATCCTCTAAATATATAATGATTACATCATATGAATGAAGTCCATGTCTAGTGATTCCAAACAAACATAGAAATGATAGAATTCTACCAAACTCCACTTAATCCATCAAGGACATTCCAAAAGTCATATAAGATACATTCTACTAAACTCCACTTAATCCAAGGGCATTCTAAAAGTCAAATAAGATACATCATCATAAAGACTTAAGAAACTCAATACTAAGTAGGTGTTTGACATGCATTAAAAAAATATATTTTTATTTTTAATTTTTATTTTTTTTTATATACATACACGTATTTGAGTCACATTAATCAACATCTATCAAAATGTATCAACGTCTCCTCTCTATTTTTCTATCCACTTTTTCTACATATTTTTTTATAAAAAATTAAAAAACTACACTTATTTAGAACATTTCAAACCACTTCTAAAATCTCATGTAATTTTATTCTAACCAATCAAACATTTCTCAATTAGCTAGTTAACATTTTATTTAAAAAATTAAAAAATCACTAAAAAAAATTACAAAATTACAAAAAAGTTCAAATTATATAAAATAAGTATTTCTCTCCATTAATCATACTTTTGGCATTTAGTGTATTTTTTAAATATTTTTTTCACAAATATTATATTTTTTAAGTATATTTATATTAAGTGTGTCTAAAAATTTTAAAAAAAAAATTACTTTACGGAAAATAAAAAAAATAAAATTTTCTAAAAATTATTTTCTAAAACCAGACCCAAACGAAGTGATTAATTTTTTTCTATTCATATTTTAACCCCAAAAAAAAAAAAAAACAACAACAACAACAACAACAAATGACTTTCACCAGAAGAAATCAAGTACTAAACATAGATTAGTAAATCAAGCATTCGGGTGTATATATATATATATATAGAGAGAGAGAGAGAGAGATTAATTTACCTGGCGATTGAGAGTGGTGGGGTCATGGCGAACCCAGAAAACAGAGAGGAGGTTGGTGTAGGGGCAAAGAGAAGGGTCGAAGTGGACCCGAACCACCTCAGAGTGGTTGGTGGTTCCGGTGCAGACGAGCTTGTAATTGGGATCGGGTACATGACCCTGAGAGTAGCCAACCTCCGTCTTCACCACACCCTCCACACGCTGGAAGGTCAGCTCCACACCCCAGAAGCACCCGGCACCGAACTGGGCCAATTCCAGACCCGGTTCGATCGGACTGTCTGGATCCGCTTCCAGCGCCCGATTGGTGGTTGTTCCGATTCTGGGATTGTTTTCTGCCATTGTTGGTGCTAGTCTGTCTGGTCGCTTCTGCTCTTCTCCTTCCTTCTTCCAAAACCAACTGAATTTGTGGTGTTTGGGTAGTTCGCGTGTTGGTTTTTTTATTTTATTTTTTACACTAGAAGACAAATTTTTTGTAAAATAAAAAAAATAAATAAATTCAGACAAAATATTACATTTAATTTCATAATTATTTCTTTTTTTTTCATAAACATTACATCTAACCAAAAAAAAAAATCAATTATCACCTCAAACATCAAAAAAAGATTTTATACAATAATATCATATAATTAAAAAAAAATTACATAAAAATCTACTTTCCAAACACCCATATATATGAATCAATTTAATGAGTAATACATTCACTGGCTGAACCTTACCGTGCAGGCCGGTCACATTCATTTTTTTTTAAGAAAAAAAAAAAGAAAAAAAAAAACGAGTAAATTACAATTTGATTTGTTTTCTCACTTTGACCGTTTCAAGTTTTTATTTTTTTTAAGTTAACTTAGGTATAAAGTTAAATGAAAAATTATATATTAATGATTTTACTATATATAATTTACATATCTATAACAAATTTAAATATTAATATATAAATATTTTTTTATGTCATATAACAGCTAACCTGACATTTTTTATATAATTTTAAATAAAAACTAATTTTAGTAGTAAATTGAGAAAAAAAAATTGAAAATACAAGTCTAAAATGGAAAAAATAAATGAATAAAAATCAAGAGCCAAAGTAATAAAATAAAATAAAATACAAAAACCAAACATAATAAGAGCAAAGTGTAATTTATCCCCAAAAAAAATATATGAAGACATTTTTAGAAATTTCCATATATTTATGAGTAATTCCCCCTAGAGCACACACTTAATGAACACTAACACTTTCTCAGTGCACACATCAAAAATAAAAATGTTCTTAATATACATCTCTTTATTTCAATAATGCTCTTATTTCTTATTTTCAAAACATTTTTTTTTCCCACCCATTCTTCTTCTATCGAAAAACTTACAGTGTCTTTTGTCATTGTTGCCATTATTATCATCGCCACTCTCAACCTTCCATTGCGACCATCCTCATCCCCTAAACTTTGTGACCATCACCGCTATGATCCCAACCTTTACAAATCTTTCTATCACTATGAACTCAACGTCAGCAAACCTTCCATTTGAAAGGGGTGTACGTAATCGATTCCGAGAGAAAAAAAGACATAGTAAGAAGGTTAATGACTTTAAAGGAAGTGAAAGGAAGGTGATTACTGAGTACTCTCGAAGTATGGTCATGTGGTGCTCCATGATATTATGATTGATGGAAAATGTGAGATATTATGGGTCTGTTTGGTAACGTTTACGTTTTCAGTTTATATTTACAAAAATTTTATAAACTGGTTTTTGTTGATTTTTTGTTTATTTAAAAAAAAACATAAACTACAAACGCGTTTGATAATTGACAAAATATTTTAAAAAATTTAAAATATAAAAAAGAGTGAGAAATGGCAAGTGATGGCAAGTAGCGACGGAAGACGATGGTAGAAAGTGGTGACGGTGGGTGGTGGTGGGTGGTAGCGGGTGGATGGATGGGTGGGTGACGGTCGCGGGTGGTGGGTGGTAGCGAGTGGGTGGTGGTGGTGGGCGGGTGGTGGGTGGTGTTAGGTGACGGTGGCGGTGGCGGCGGGTACATCGTTAATGATGCATTTTTTAATTAATGAAGGGGCCCTTGTTAAATAGCCTTTGCGTAGCCCACAAAAAGGGTTATCCAGCCATAGTGAGCAACGAACAAAGTGGAAGAGGCAAAAGCGTTTGCGTAGTAATCAGTGTGAGCGTATGTCTAGCAAATTATTTTTCAACAGTAAAGGGAGGGAAAAACGTTTGGCAGAACTGGACGCGGAAATGAATCATGAAGCAGGTGGCGTAGCTTCTCGAGCGAGTATTATAGCGTAGGAGGAACAGAAAAGATGTCGTTCATCCCGTCGACGAAGTATATCCCCAAGATGGAGTCAGGTGGAGAAATCGCCCAGAGGTGGGGTACAACAAAAAGGTAGCGCCAGGGCTGCAAGTGCACAGGCGTCTGTGCGACATGAGCTGAGTAGACTGCCATGCCCTCTAAGTTTTGCTATCTTTATTGGCAACAAGCGCAGGACTGAAACAGACTCAATTATTCATGACCCGAATGTGGCGGTGGACTTTACTCGACAAATATTTCCACCCGAAGTACATCAATCTATGATCGGGTGGGGCGACTATGAAGTTTTTAGAGGTGGTGTCTATGGGCCAATCAAAAGACTCTATTGTGCATATGAGATCGGCATGCGACTTCGGGTCGCTCAGAAAAAAATCGCTCAAAAGGATAGGCGGATTCAAGATTTAGAACGTCGTGCGGAGAAGGCGGAGAGCTGTCAAAACGGTCGATGTGAGGCATCTTGAACCTGTCCGGCAGTGTCACAACTGCGTTGGTGTACCCGTCCTCAATGTCCAGGATGGACTTTACCCCTTGGGATTTCTTGAACAACTTTTCAAGCTTGCTCAACTTCAACGCTGTAAGGTCTACCTCGAACTCAAAGGGAGAGTCCGATGGGTTAATTGGTACTTTAGACAGCTGGGGTAAGATTGGGGGCGGAGCCGGCCCTGTCAGAATTTCCGTACCTTCTTGGACATTTGGCATCTCCCCGGGTATTGGATCTACTGGTGGGGGGGAAGCTTGATACGAAGCAAATGCTCTGTTTTGCTGTTGCAATCTGGTGATTAGCTCTGCCTATTGGGCCATGACCGCAGCCTGCTGTTTGGCGAATTCAGCTTAGCGGACAGCATCTTGCTGCATGAGTTTCATATTTTCTTGCATCTGGCGCATCATTGCCTCCATCCCTGATGTGTTCTACTGATCCATCTAACTTACTGGTATCTATCCCTGCAGTAGAGACGTTGGGTGGAAAAAAAAAAAAAAAACTGAAAACTCAAAATGGAAACACCTTTTTTGAGTTTACATTTTTTGGCCAAATTTATAAACTGAGACCGCTGATTTATAAATAAAAAATTTACCAAACAAATTTTTATTTGAGTTTTTTAAATTTTTGTAAATATAAAAAGAAAACTGAAAACGTAAGTGTTACCAAACGGCACCTATGATATTGTATTGAGTAATTGAGAAACATAAGGCGGTATGTTAATGATGATTGGTAAATGAGTATGGGCATGTGTTACTCTAGAAGTACCCAATAATTTTCCATGAAAAGGAAGGCAGTGAACGAAAAAGAAGATGCAGTTGGCTGGTAACAAGCAGTGGTGGAGTAGGTGGTGGATGGATGTGTATTGAGAAATTAAAAAAGATAAAGGTTTGTCCTAAATGGTAATTTAATTAAGGGATAAAAATGTGATTTTGAAAAAACTCATTAAGTGTGTGCCTTGGAAAATTCTATTTCCACACATATACTTATCTTAGTGTACACATTTAATGAAATGTTATTTTAATGACAATTATACCCTAAAATAAAATGACTATAATGAACATCAAAACACACCCTCAATATTAAATTTAAATTTTCTCTATACACATCTTCTTCTTCTTTTAAAAAAAAAAAAAAAAAAAAAAAAAAATTTAGTAAAAAAAAATCTTAGTACACATTTTTTTTTTTAGTAAAAAAAAAACAAATCCTAATTTAGAGAGAGAGAGAGGCCATTGAAATCCATAGAACCATCTTAAAATCCGAGGGATTATTGTTTTGTTATGAACTAAGAAACCCCAATTCCATCTCCAATTCAAGGTTCATCTTCACAACCTTCAATCGCATCTTCAGATTCTCAATTATTTGCATCAATTGTAATTCTCTGTTGATTTCCGCATTCTCTTCCCCACTAATCATATCAATCATATTCATCACCTTTTGCCTCTGATCATCCAAACTCTTCTTCATAAATATCAAACTCCCTATCATCACCTCCCTATCCGTTGATCCACCACCACCACCAATCTTACCTCCATCCATTTGGGTATGTAAATCCAACTTCTCTAACTCTCTTCCCCTGTCTTGAATGATGGTTTGCGCCAAATCAAACTTGTTTTACAATATCATCATCTTGATTACTTCCTGGAAAAACAAGGCCTAGTTCAAAGACACATTCATTGAAGTTCCACCCACTGATTCTTTGTTTCACAATTACATCACCAATTAAAAACTCTGCGTCGCCTTAAACCGAAATAGGGTCTAAACTATTGGTATAGAATTTTGAACAGGTGTGTGGAAAAAAGGTTAGGGCGATGTGTGTACAAGGATATGAGTTAAGGATATGATTGGAATATTTTGTGTGTAGAATGAGAACAATAACTCATAATCAAATCAACAATGATTCATCCCACTAAAAACATCACCACTAATAGCACTAATGCATTAAAAAAGTAAAAAAAAAAAAAAAATACAACTCCAAGACCAAAACATCACATCATTAATGACGGGACCCACTGCCACCTAATTAGTGGGAGCACTAATTAGTGCTCCCAAGCATTTTTCTAATCAAATTACTAAAAGTGTGCATTGAGAAATAATGCGCATTGAGATAAGTAGGTGTATGGAAATAAAATTACTCGTGTGCCTTGGGTGGATTTAGTGTATTGAAATAGAATTATCCACACTTACACTGAGAAAAAATTATTGGTTGGCCTTGAGGATCCACGTGACCATACTGCGCACTAATTATAATTCATCATATCACTTGTATTCTCCAATCATCTAACACAAATTCGTGGGTTCTATTCCCTCCACCAATCACAACACCATTAAGGCATCACATGGTAGTGCCTCAAGACCAACTAATAACTTCTCTACACCGAGAGCTTGTTTGGCAATAGATTAAATTAGTCACACAAAAAAAAAAAAAAAATAATAATAATAATAATAATAATAATAATAATAATAATAATAATAATAAATACACTAAAATAAGTTTAAAAAATCAAATAAAAAAATTCAACATTTTATTTTTATTTAATCTACTTTTTGTATTTTTTTTTGTAAAAAGTCTAAAAATTATTTTTAAACACTTCAATTTTTTTTACCTCATATTTTTGTTAAAAAACCACGTAACAAATC